CGAGGATATCCGTCTAGTAGACAGGTATACTCGAATTTCGAGTGGCCATCGCTATATATATATATATATATATATATATGTACGTATGTATGTATATGTATATATATATATAGCCGATTTAGCACTATGGAGAAAGGGAATTTCTAGCCGCTGCTGCTGCTTTAAATGCATTTGGCGTTTGGAATTGAGCGCTATGTCGCCCGGTATAGCTTTTAGGTACATTACGTATATAATGTGTTAAAAAATTCCGTTTCTGGGTAAGGGTCTATGACTAATGTCAAATCGGTCGAGTTTCGATCCCGGCTTGAATCGATCGGATATCTAGCCATACTGATGAGTTGTGATACAGTGTAAATGCCTGTCTGTGGAGGACTATATATATATATATATATATATATATATATATATATATATATATATATATATATATGTTTCAAACATGTTTCGTTGAATATAACAGACGAAGAATATTATTTTATTGATTTTTGTGTGTGTGTGTGTGTTTTTGTTTCGTAGGGGTAAGGAGTGTAAAAATTGTCCGCAGTGTCTATTTAGCCATTTTGAAAGGCGGAGTTATGTTAATTTTTTTCACGGTTGTATTTTAAGATGCAATTGTGTGATGCATATTGCATGAGAGTAAGATTGTACGATATACAGGAGGACTGAATAGTAACTCCCCGTACTAAAGTACTCATAATTTATTTATTGACTATGATTTTTACACGCAATAGATATGAGAGGAAAAGCGTTTTGCATGGGGTTTTATTTAAAATTCAATATGGGCGCCAAATTTCGCTACGAGTTTCGTGAGCCGCCCAGGAATTGTGTCAACCAGGAAGTATTGTGGTATGGAAGACCTAACTTCTTGTATTTGTCTTTCAAGTTCTTCCAAAGTCTTGGTTTGGTATAATAGCCTTGCACCTTTAACCAACCCCAAAGACATAAGACGCAGGATGTTAAGTCAAGAGCCCGGCTAGCCACTTATACATAAAATAGTGAGTTACTTTTCAATCACGCTGTATATATATATATATATATATATATATATATATATATATATATATATATATATATATATGTGTGTGTGTGTGTGTGTGTGTGTGTGTGTGTGTAATTTCTTTTCTTTTCTCATAAGTCAATGGAATGTTCTAATATCTTACCAGTAAGTCAGAAATATTACAACTGCCACTTTTTGAATTTATGCCTGACGATTGCTTCCTTTCATGAAAGTCAGAATTCCATCGAAAGGTGAGAAACAATCGTATATTTAGTATTATTATACATTCTAGCTGTGTTATTTTTCATCGAGCACTGTTTTATTACCACCAACACTCATCGTGTACTTATATATATATATATATATATATATATATATATATATATGGTAATTGAAAAGTAATTCCCCATTTTAAAATCCTTATAATCTATTTATTAACAATAATTTTTACTAGAAATGGATATGTGAGGAAAGCTTTTTAGTGGGAAGTTACATTAAAATTGCAGATTTTGCTACGAGCTTCTTGAGCCGCCCAGGAATTGTGTCAACTGATTTAACCAGAAACTATTGTTGTGTGGAATAGATAACTTCTTGTACTCTCCCTTCAAGTTCTTCCAAAGACTTGGTTTGGTTTAGTAGACTTGCTCCTTTAACCAACTCCAAAGAAAAAAAGTCACAGGGTGTTATGTCAGAACTCCCGGCTGGCCACTCATACATAAAATAGGGAGACACTTTTCAATCACGCTTATATATATATATATATATATATATATATATATATATGTGTGTGTGTGTGTGTGTGTGTGTGTGTGTGTGTGTGTGTGTGTTACTATTACTATACATTCTGTGTTATTTTGCATCGAACACTGTTTTATTACCACCAGCACACATTGTGTGGTTATATATATATATATATATATATATATACTCTTGATTTGCTATAGTGGACTTGCTCCTTTAACCAAATCCAAAGAAAAAAAGAGACAGAGCGTCAAGTCAGGACTCCAATCTGGCCATCCATACCTATCAGTACAACTGTATATACTTAATGTTCGCCTGCTAGTTTAATATAAAAAATCCTGTCTACTGATTGGCTTGTGACTTGGGCGCATGACACTGTGATATTCTGAAGGTCAATGAAGGTTGAACATTTGAAAATACATGAGAACCAAGCCTTGTGAGTGAAAGTACCTGTTAAATCAAGCCTTGTGAGTGAAAGTACCTGTTAAATCAAGCCTTGTGAGTGAAATTGGGCTGTCTGAACAGTTCGGAAGACGTCGACGCGGTGGAATCTATATATAAAAAATTGCGTGTATTCTTTCTTCATTTACGTAACGATGAGGGAAGATGGTACCGTCCATTTTGCGAATCACTGCTGTTTCTTAAAATAAAGTAGAGAGGAATGGCAAGGAGAAGACAAAAATATGATTCCCTGTTAAGTGGTCAATCGAAAAATATTTTTAATAAAATAAAAAAAAAATGTGACGCAAATCTTTAATTTTATTAATTCCTTTCATTTTTCTCCCATTTCCAATCTTTGTGTACATACGTAAAAACTTTGTTCTCGATTGAGCTCTGAAGAGCGAGGATCGATAACCGGTTAACTTTTTTTTTTTTTTTTTTAAATCGGATTCAATGCAAGCGAGGTTGTAAGGCCACTAAATCCCAGGGGGTTACTGAGCGTGGAAGAATTCGAAAGCAGAAACATTACTAAGGATCGAGAACAAAAGAAGTGTAATCAAGAAAAGAGAGGAGATAGCCATTTTACATTGCATTTTTCTTATATTTCTGTGGTGTTGTTATTTCTTTTTTCTTTCTTTGTACGCTATTCAAATATCCGTTTGTTCGGCTGATGTAATTACACTTTCGTTTATCTAACTTGTACAGTCTTTAAATTCATTGATTGCAATGTGGACGCCGTTCCAGATGCTCGCTGGTTCTTTTCATTTCACTTTTCCTTTCATACTGTGTGTCAAAACCTTCTCTCAATCGAGAAGTTTCTTGCATTGGTCGTTTCCCTGTTTAGCAGTCCAGATTTTTTTGAGTTCGTCTCATTTCTAACTTAAAATTGGTCGGGAGTGTCTCACAATGGATTCGCCTCTTCTTTGTTTTGTTTTTTCCTTTCTTTATGTTGATTTTCTAAGCGTAACTTAGACGTGACACAAGACCGGAATTCCCCTCGACAAGTTCTCCACTGCCTTAACCGGGTATTGAACTCACACTCTTTGGGTCCTGTCACTGCATCTAACCAACGTCTTTATCCACTTGGCTATGAGGAAGCGTGGCAGAGTGGATAAAGGCGTTGGTTAGATCCAGAGGGGAATTAACAGGAGATAACTGATAACTGACATCCATTAAACATGGCACGTGGAACTAGAACATAGCGGAATTTTTTTAATAAGGAATATTAACTTATACTTTTTCGAAAACTTCCAATATATTCTTGCATAAAATAAAAACTTTCTCTTTATCAAGCTAGAGCTTTAATGATATGCATGTACATCCACACATGTAAACACACACACACACACACACACACACACACACATATATATATATATATATATATATATATATATATATATATATATATATTAGCTTAAAAGACGTCCTATCGAGTGGCATTAAAGCTAGCTCCCGCGGTGGGCTCTTGATTAGGGCTTCATCACAATAAATAGGGTGGAGTAGATGAAACAGTCAAGAATAAAGTACGTAACTCAAAATTAATCGTTGCATTTTAAGTACTCCATTAATATTTAAACTTACTTTTTAAAAGTCAAACGATAATTCTTCTGTCGACACTTAATTTAAAGTCACTTTGATGTACGTAGGTCCTTACTTTCCGTACAAACTATTATTTTTATTTCATGAGTGACTTTCGCAATTAATTTCCATTATTTCCAAATTTATTTCAAAGTTATAAAAAATTTTTATCTTACAAAAAAAAATTGTCGCAAACATTACATTAAAAATCGCCGAAAACATTCACTGTAATGAGAAAAAGAGAATCCAAAATTTCAGGATTGTGGATCTGGATCCATACGGAATTTTTTAATTTACTCACGGAGTCGGTGTGATTCCAAAATGTTTGGCTATGTCTTCTCGGAGTAAAGATTAAATATTGTGACAGTCTGACATTCGAATTTATTATATATAAAGGGCGTTGCAATAATTTGGACCGATCTTAAATATAAATCAAATTTGAGCGTCTAATGAGTTTTTTTTTTTTTTTTTTTCTTTTTCTTTCAGATGTAACAACTTAAGTCTTTGGCAATTTCAACCATGGAATGATTAACAATCAAACAACGTGTTAAAGTTTCAACAGTGCAAATGGAAAAAAAAATGTTCGTAAATTCAAACAAACTGGGTCGGTGGCAGATGTGAAAACACCATTGCGTTCTCGTTTACGCCGTTCAGCTAAAAATATTGCTGCAGGGCACGAGAATGTGGCCGAAAATCCAAACACCTCTCTTCGTCATCGCGCACAGGAATTGAACCTCTCTAGAACAAAGTTACATAGTTTCCAGTTGCACTCTCGGTGGGTCGATTATGTTGACCCCCAAAAAATCGCGATGTGCGTGAAATGCATTTCTGCTTGAACGTCCATTTTCGTAATAAGCTTCGATAAATTTAACACATTGTTTCATATTTAATCTTCCCAAGGATGAAATTGCCAAAGATTAGTTTGTTAATTCTGAAAGAAAAAAATCAAAAAAAAAAATCATTAGTTGCTTAAATTTAATTCACATTTAAAATCACTCCAAGTTATTGGAACACCCTTTTATATATATATATATATATATATATATATATATATATAAGTATGGGGTATATATGTTATATATAGAAAGAAACATATTAACAGACATTCAGGGAAATTTATTTCCCGGCAAGTAAGCTAAGAAATCTGACTACTGCCAAGCGATGTCGTGTCGACCATTCGTTTGTAAAGTGCTCTCTATGTGTCTCTATGTTATAACCGTCTAGCAGACGGAGCTAAACGTCAAAATTCTGCACGTTGATAGATTGGAAAAACTAGTAACACGAATAGGCGAGGCCAGTATCGTGGAGCAATTGATTGTGTCGTAAGTTCGTTCCTCGTTGAGTACTTCTCTTTTGTATTCGTATGGCATTCGTTAAAATTAGCCTGACAGAGGGTTAAATAATACGGTTTCTTGGGAATAACGTATTTACAACCAGTCAAAGATAGATAGATAGATAGATAGATAGATAGATAGATAGATAGATAGATAGATAGATAGAAAACACACTGAGCCAGACAGGTAGATACAGAGATAGTGATGGAAATAGAATGTGAGAGCGAGATGTAGAAACTGAGATAGATTGATATAAAGAGACTGAGATAGAGAAAGAGTAGTAGATAAGTATATAGTGTGTTAAATAGAGAGGGAGCGAGAGAGAGAAAAACTGAAATAGATAGATAGATAGATAGATAGATAGATAGATAGATAGATAGATAGATAGATAGATAGATTTGCTGAAAAAGTAGTCGACTAGACTACCATTTGTTCGCAGAATTTGTTTTCATCTCATCTTTATTTGATAATCGAATTCAATGGACAAATCTAAGTATAATTAACCACGCGCCGACTTGAACGGAATATGGCACAAGGCCGAGTTTCATGTGTGCGTCCCACGCGCACCTGAGACCGAAAATCCTCCTGCTCCCTCTGTACTTCTCATCGGACATGCCTCTGGTGTTAAGGATTTACGCTAACACTCCCACACTTAATAGAATGGTTAAGATGCTTCAAGGGAACCAGTCCCTGGAATTGAACCGTTAATGTCTGCCTCAAAGCCAAAAGATTGGTGGGTGAGGCTCACTTTCAGCCTTCTAAATAAAACCAGGATGTAGTCAGCTGAATATTGCTGGCCACACCGACATCACATGGATAATAGTAAAAATAGTAAACTATCAAAGATCATTAATAAAATACAATTAAAATCAGTTATATATTTAATATGTAGAAAATAATAAATAAATATAATAAAAAAAATTAAACAAAACTAATAGCGATTACAATGAAAAAAGCCCGTAAAAATAGAAGCAAGAATTGTAATAGTCAAAATAAAAAAAGAAACAACTGCCCACTTATTAATAAATGCCTAAATAATAATATAATATATAAAGCAACTGCATCAAATAATTTTAACACGGAAGAAAAAATTCATAGACCTTCGATACAGTTCATTGGAGAAAGAGAGTAACAACTCACTCCCATTCCTGGATGTACTAATATCTCGAACAGAGCATGGGTTCAAGACATCCGTATACCGTAAACCAACATTCACCGGACAGTACCTCAATTTCGACTCCCATCATCCATACAGCGTAAAGAAAGGGATCGTCCGATGCTTACAACACCGAGCAAAAGTCATAAGTGGCGATCCAGAGACGTTATATAAGGAATTGGTCAGTATAAGTAGTACCCTACAACGTAACAACTACCCTGGGTACATGGCAGCAGCCCCCCAAAAGTGGGATAGGCGGGTACAAGAGGAGGAGGAGGAGGACAACAACACTCAGAAAACAGTCTGCTTGCCTTATGTGAAGGGATTATCAGAGAAAATACAAAGGATCTGCGGTCCATATAACATCAGGACAACCTTCAAAAGCGTGACAACACTTCGCAGGTATCTCTCACAAGTGAGAGCCCCCACAGAGAGGAACATGACTAAAGACTGTGTGTACGCTATCCCGTGCAGCTGCGGAAAGGAATATAAAGGAGAAACAGGCCGCCCCCTCAAGGTAAGGCTTCAAGAACACCAGAAAGCTGTAACGAGAGGGGAAGTAGAAAAATCAGGCGTGGCTGACCACGTATGGAGAGAGAAGGGAGATCACCGCCCCCTGTGGGATCATGTTGAAATCATAGATAGGGAACACCATTGGAAAATTCGTAAACTTAAGGAATCAGCACATATGCTAGGCCACAAAAATCTCCTGAGCCGACCAAGCATAGAAATAAATACAATATAGGAACCAGTAATAAGGAGTGCCAGAAAAAAGCAATGATAACAGAGTTGCAATATGAACTCTGGTAAAGACATGTAATGATAACAACAAAAATTGCAATATGAGCACTGGTAAAAATGATGCTGAAAACATTAGGTTTATAATACTCATCATACCCAGATGTCCTCAAGGACACATGGCACAGTAGATAAAGGCGTTGGTTAGATCCAGTGACAGACCCAAAGAAGGTGAGTTCAATTCCTGGTTAAGGCAGTGGAGAACTTTCAGAGGGAAAATTAGCAGGAGATAACTGATAACTGACATCCATCAAACATGGCACGTGGAACAGTCTACCCCAGTGATCGAAATAAATAAAGGGTTCAGTTCGAAATTCCTACCACCTGAAGAAGGCCGGAGCGTACAACGGCCGAAACGTTGTGACAAATATGGCGACAAAGATGAGGACAATAGTCCGACTAATGTAAATACTGTACATAATACCTCATCTCAGAAATATAGACAGACTCATCCGAGTTTCTCTTTTACCCATAGGACTCTGCCCCCACCGGCCACCACTACTATACCCAAGCCGCTCAGTCCAGAGCATTAGAAGCCGGTTCAAGCAAGGATATACAAGTGATAGAAATTAGGAGGATTTGAGATAATTATAATTAAGTAATTCATCGAGTCTAGAAGAAACATCAACAGAATGGAGAAAGCACTGGACGGCCGTTTCGACCTATATTTGGGACTCATCAGCAGTTTCCATCGAACTACCGAGAATGGAAACCCAGATAGTTACGTTATAAGGCAAACGTCATACCAACTGTTCCAACACTTAGAGCGCAAGTGTTTATGCTAATTGGGGAGGAAGTAAATATATCATTATTAGTGTCTATAAAGAAAAGGGATTTTATTATTAACGTTAAGTTCTTATGTAAAGTTAAGAACGGAATTTTTTTTTTTTAAAAGTTTTCTTGTAATTCATTTATTTCATCTATATTTTTACCTAAGGTAACAATATCCTCTTCATATCATAAGGCGACGGAAAGACTTTTTAGCGGTGGTAAATATCTTATTTTCAAGGTTAGCCATGTTGAGTTATATATATACAAAATTTGATCGATTGGTCGATCATGTCTATTTTTGATGCATGGCCAACTAAGCTGTTGAAACCAACTCTCGAAAAGGTACTTTCCCCGATCACTTGGCATGTTCTAGTACCATCAGTTATCTTCTCCGCATAACCCCATAAACTGTGTCTCTGTAACACTCTACCTGATATCATTGAAAAACAAAAAAAAAAAAATAATTACATTTACTTCTCGTTTTCATCATGTAATTTTCAAAATTAGCGTTTGTTTAATATGGACGCTCCCGTGCACTGTCTTCATTTTCACGTTTTTCGAAAGGAAAGCGTTATGCGATATTATAAAAATGACGAAGAAAGTCAGAGAGCTTGGAGAATTTGCCAACCCCAGGGCATATTGAAGTCTTGAGGGACAGAGGAAAGCAGGGAATAACCTATCTAACGAGATTGTGCAAATGGTTTGTAGAACAGGGATTTGGAGAGATAACAGACAGTACTTACTAAGAGCTAAAAAGGAGAGGAAGTTGTGGAGATCTGTGATCGCCGACGCCTTGAAAAAAAGAATGAGTAAATAAATAATAATAATAATAATAATGATAATAATAATAATAATAAAAACGAAAGAATATTAATCTACAACTCAGCGTGTCTGAAGATTTTAATTTTTTAACATTTTTTTATTGTTCAATATATATATATATATATATATATATATATATATATATATTCAATCATATAGTGTTAAATATAACAAACAAATCATTTCTATTATGTTTGATCATGTGCCGTTCTAAGCTTCATATATTTGCTTTAATTTCGGGAGAAAATAAAGAGGAAAACTGTCCAACATTTGGATATTTTTATTATCCCGAATTTAAAGCAACTATACGAAGCTTATAACGGCTCATGATCAAACATAATAGACATTCATTTTCTGTTATATGTAAAAATATATCTTTGAATAATGATTTGGTGTCACAATACACTATATATATATATATATATATATATATATATATATATATATAATTACATTAAAATGAAACTCAATCGTACCCCATTTATACGGACATTTCGCCTCTCGAGAGATTTCTCTCTTCCAGAAATTCCCTGGAACCTGTCAATAATAACATATTTGATTAAAAAAAAGTCTTCAGTATTTACAAGCTTTTATCAAAGGTTTTACTATTGACAAGCTCCAGGGAATCTCTCGAAGAGAGAAATTTCTCGAGGAGCAAAATGGCCATATAAATTGGGTACAATTGAGTTTCATTTTTATGTAATTCATTCATATGCTCTATAATAGATATATTGAGCTCTCCTTTGTGGATCAGTTTTAGTATTTTATATTATTAGTATTAACGTGGATTACTTACCAATTTTTTTTTATATATATATATATATATATATATATATATATATATATATATATATATATATATATATACTCAAACACTTTATGCATGACTTTTCCTGAGATATAGATTAAACATTATACAAATTTAGAAGCAAATTCTCCCTCTTGAACCTTTGTAGAATGCAGTGCCAAATTTTATTAAAATTAGACAAGGGGTTTTGAGTTAGGATCGTTTAGTATTTGTTTCCGATAAATGCTTATATAGCAATCCGTGTATATAAAGAAACACTTGCATGTTGTATGTTATATTCCAGCTACAACATCTGTGAAAAATAATAAACATTCTTAATACATTATAACAACATTATTAAATAAATTTAAACACAACATATATTTATACAATTCACTAAATTTCATTAGAATTTTTTTTATAAACAACTACTTGAAAGGTGAAAAGGCTATATGTGTCACATGGCTTGATGGTAAATAAATAGAGCCACGCGGATTTACTGACTTTATATATGTTGAAACAGATGCGAGGAAAAACAAGTATGTATAATAAAAAGAAATATACTTATTATTATGAAAACATCGATAGCTGTTTTAAGCTATTACTCAAGAATCTTCACGTTATGTGTTAACTATGAAGTTCAGTGGAACAATAAACCTTCTTTAACCGTCTTTAAATACAAATTAAAATGTGTAATTCATAGTAAAATATAGCTTTACCTCATCATTTTGTATCATGAACAACTTTTAAAAGGAATCCAACGGGTTTGTGGGTGGTCTAATATATATATATATATATATATATATATATATATATATGGTTTATGAAGGGATTCTCATAACTTAATGAATCTTTGTGTGTCTACGAGTGTCTCCTGTTCTCATTTACATCGTTTCTCTTGTTCGTCAGACTGAAATAATTCATAATGTGACAACCATTTTTTTATTATCTTTCCATTTTCATTCTTCTCTCACTCTCTTTACAACTGGAATTTCCGAACGATTCTGCAGCTCTTCGTAAAACATTGGCATCCTTACCTCTTGTTTCCGGTCGCCATATTTATTTTT